GATCGTCTAAAATGGAAGAGACGCAGATCATTCGGATATATATTTTATAAGTTCTCCACCCTTTTTTCTGTTTATTACAATCTTTGTGGCAATCTCAGTGTAACCTGTTAAGGCTATAATAAAGCATAACAGCAGGGAATAAAGTCGTCTTATAAATTTGTCGCACAACAACAACGTGTGAAATTTTTCTAAAATAACGAGGCGGCAACGAATGGAAATAATGGCCTTTTATTGTTGCCTTAATGGGATTTTATGGTACTTGCACAGCAAATTCATTACAGTTTATTTTTATTTGCCTGGCTTGTGATAACAAAATAATGGTTAGCTATCCGGCTGACCGCTGAAAAAATGGATAAAGCGATAAAGGCAAGGAATTGGCATAGGCTGGAGTAAAATGAAAACTGAAAAATTTTATACACATGCCACAAATATATAATGCCAATATGTAGAAAATAATAAAAACGCCTACAAATTTCACTACTAAGTCTGCTTTAAGGCGTAGCACAACTAAATTCCGCCTGAATGTATGCTACAATTTTGCCTTGACTATGTGCTTTGCGAAAACTTTCCTGCCAACTATGCGCGCTGCAGCAACTACGTACAAAATACATCGTTTCTGCATCAAATTATATATACATATATATATTTCGCTTTATGTTATGTTTTTATTTTTACACGTGCGCGCGCTCCTAAATGCATGCAATATTCACGCGCATTGCATTTCGCCTTTATGCTGCCTGCCGCCATTCAATAAAAGCTCACGTATTTAGCTTGGCGCACACAGCTTTATTCGTCACTTTTGTTGGCATTCAAGCAAAATGGCATTAAAACGAGCACATTGAAAAGTATATTGATTGAAATTTATTGCAGATGGAACCGACAGATTGGCGTATAGAATTTTTGAAAGCAAGCGTACACGCTTTGTAGCTGCCACTTCAGTGTGTGTGTGCAAAGTGAAAATGGGGAAAAAATCAGTTTTTCTTGCATAAATTACCGACGAAAAGGAATGTGTGAACTTTTATTTGGCAAAATGATGTTGATTTATAGACAGTCTTTATTGAAAGGCCAAGCTGTATGTATCAATTATCGCCGAAATGGAAAAGGGTTTCGTAAAAAGTGATTTTCGTGTACGTGTGAATTTATATTTGTAGTGCGAGACTGAGTTGTGAGAAGTTTCTCATTAAGACTTAAGTTAAGGTAACATGTTAAGCAAGTGATTAGTATTTTGTTGCCTACAATTAGGCGACTTTTGTTGTTAGTGGAGAGCGCTTATCTGATTAAGATTTCAAGCTGTCAGAAATTAGTTTAGTTCATACTTTTATCATCAAAAATATGATTTAAAATGTTATTGGTAACATCTTTTAGCAATTGCCTTGAATTTGAAGGGAACATATAACAAAATTTAAGTATGTACAAAAATATTATAATTCACTCGCTATTATTTCTATATTTTTACTTGAGTTTCCAATTTAGAAAAAATTTTGGCTGCCTAAAAATATCATATTTCCGAAGGAAATTTTTCAAAATAATAATTTTAGATTACATTTTTATTTAAGGGTATATAACAATCTAGAGGCATGATTTTTTGAAGTGTCTTAGAAAAACAGTAGTAATAATTTTATATTAATACAGGAATTGTATAAAATGTATAAGATTAGCTGCTGATAAATTAGGGTCTATCTATTTACATTACATTAACAGAGGAATGAAATCAATCAGAAATCAAAAAATAAAAAAATTCAGAAATTTCAAAAATTTCAAAGAATACTTGATGGCGAATTGGGGGAAAAAAAACTTGGCACGTTACCATACACACGATGTGAACCCTCCTAGCAATGGGAAATTAAAAAAAAACATTAGTTTATAAAAATTTCGTATTGACTAGTTCTACGAAAAAGCTGAAAAAATTTTCATGGAGTGGCGACTGAATGAACAAAACATAAAACTTTCCTAACACAACTTTCTTAACGGTTTCGATTTTTTTTAAATCGTAAAAACTGAAATTTTTGGAACATGGATTGAATTTAAAAAATTTACAGGTAAATCGTTCCAGTTGAACCTTAGAAATTATGGGTTCCTTGAGGAACTGAGTAGGCAAATGCAATTTTAACTTTTTTTATTTTTTCGTCTTTCAATACATAGGGGTCTTAATTAAGGTGTGCATTATTTCTTTGACGTCGTATTTCGAATACTTTGCTTTCAAATTTTCACAAAATCCTTGCAAAATATGTTGCTTTGAAACAATAAAATGATTGAGTTAATATTTCATTTTGAAAACAGGTCGTTTTTTGCTCGAAAAAACCCTTGTAATATCTTAATAATTGTAAATTTTTAAGCAAAAGTGATTTTTAGAAACTTTTTTTAAGGGCATCACTACATTGCTGATCAAAATGTTTAATTTTAATATCAATTAAATGTAGAAACTTTAAATAATTAAAAACTTTGTTTAAATAAAAATTAGATAACAGATATCGGTAACTTAAATGTAGGATAAAATTAATTAAAATTTAATAGTTCATTAAAACATGAAAGTACCTGTTTTTGTACCGTGAACGGAGTATACCAAGTTAGTACAATATGTTTAATAACACTAAGAGGAAACGTGGGACACCCTGTATAATATAAGTATGGTAAGTGAGTATAATGCGTTCTTGACATTCTTTCCTGTTGGCCTATTCCAACATTCTGCACCAGAAGTTTCATTCCACACGCAAAATTTAAGGGCACTTCTTTGTTGAATAATTTTACTCAATAATCGCCGAATGCACTTTATATGATTCAAAAAGTCAATCGTATACTAAACAGTAATGACTATCAACCTAGAAAAAAGTATTTCAACGAATGATTTTCCGCGCGAAATTTAAATTAAAAAATCTTACTATTTTTTGCCTACGGTAGTATATATTAATGATCAGTGGGACGAGCTGAGTCTATTTAGCCACTGTTCTGACTGTATAAATGCAAAGTAGTCTAATCGTTTCTGAGATAGCAATTTGAAAATTTGTCTTGGTTTCACCAAAGAAAATATCGTTTAACTATATTGTATTACTGCTCTACAAATTGAACCATAGGAATCGAGTGAATGAAAAAACTTTTTTGTAAGATCACTATAGCATATACATAGCTGCCATGCAAACTGAACGATGAAAATCATGTTCTTGCATGGAAAATTATTTAATAATAAATTAATTTTTGCTATTTTTCTTAAACTATCATTAAATAAGTTTTCTGATAAAAACGTGTTTAAAATAAAAAAAATAGAAGAAGAAATAAGAAAAGCTGGAATTTAATTCATAGGCGCACTTCTTATTGCAACTTGTATATAAATATAAAGAAAACATACAAGTATATTATTTTTACTCATAATTTTCTAAAATATGCTATGACTTATATAAAAATACTATTAAATATATATTTTTATCTTTAGAACATTACAGAAAAAAGAAGAAGAAATAAGTATAGCTAGTAGTTTAAAGTCGATAGTGAGGCCGCAAAGTCTGTTAAAATTCGCGTCAAGCACAGACATCCTAAAGTATGTCTACTACTCTTGGACCCAGGAACTGAATCTGTTATCGCAAAGGACATAAACTGATCTATGAGTGGCTTATCGGCATACGAGATTAACCTAACTGAACTTTCACAAAAGCTTTCATAAAGTTACAATAATTTAAAACAAGCCTATTTTACAGACAAAAAGTGCATAAAATAACCTCTAAAAATAAATTGTCACCGAAGAGGAGAAATTTGAAATTTTTTTCGAGTAATATTTTTTTTCGAATAATACTTAATTTTTTCCGAAGTACTTAAAATCACGCAACTCTATATTAATATTTAAAAAATATTAGGTGGTAAAAGCAAGACAATTCGCAAATAATAATCTATAATTTAGATACAATAAATATTTTCGATTAGGTTAAAAACTAGACAGAAATTAAATTTCTGCACAAAAAAAAAAATAATTTTACGAGACATAATCTAATAAAAAATTGCGTATATTATGGACATACATATATATGTACATATCAGTAACTTATATTATATATCGTCACCTAAAATGGAAAATAAAATAACATCACTTTTCATAAGTTGATAGCTGAAGGAAAAGCGAGTTAATAAAAACCACACATTTTGAAATAAAATTTGGGTTTTGGCTATATAATCATTATATGTTAGTTATAAATGATAGCGGAAGCTACATATGTATATGTAAAAAGATGTAGTGAATCGTAAACAATAAATAACTTAATTTATTTATGTTTGCTTTGCATTTTAGTTGTCGATATACAGGAATGAATTGAACGTGAACACACACACCTTTGATCTGTATTTATGTTTAAGTATCTAAACATCAGCAGAAATTATCTTTTTGTTAATTTTTCTCAAAAAATAAAAAAATTCTTGATAAAAATTTTTTTTTTTTTTTTTTGACATAACAAACTGAAATATATATATTAAATATGGTAGAGTTAGGGTGTTCATAAGCTCATAGTCCTGAAAATACCAAAAATTCGGAAAATGCTTTGAAATCAATATTCTAGCGATATCATATACACAACGTCACCTAAAATGCAAAACAACGTATCATCAAAAAATGACAAATATTATATATGTAATATCGGAATATTTTAGGCTTCCGCCAAAACCCAAATTTTCTTCAAATATGAGTGGTTTCGTTGTAACATCACTTTGCATAAGTTTATAAGTTAAGGAAAAATGATATAATATAAACCATTCTTGTTGAAACACAATTTGAGTTTTTGTTCTATTTGACAGTGGAAGATGAAAACTTTATGCTACATATATATAATATGTTGATATGAATCGTAAGCAATAAAAGACTCAATTTCGATTTACGATACGGTGTTTTGTAGTTTAGGCAGCGACATATATATATATTATGTATATATATATTTATATACATTATATAGCATACATACATATATAGTATATTATTGTTGAGATATTATATTGAGATAAATAAGTTGAAAATTTCGACATACCTATCAGCTTAGATCATTATACTCCACACAAAATAAGCTGTCAGCTTAACAACGTTGCTTTTAGACAATTAAGAAGGCGAAAATAAAATAAACGTTGCCATGCTAACTGACACGGAAAGCAAGCCACAAAGTGTATTGCTACGGAAACCGCAAAGAAAACGGGCCACAAACAAACAAATTAAGCCAACAGGCGAGCTCAAATTCGATTTCGATTTAAACACTACACTTTGACACAGAATATTATGCACCGATTAATGCGATTTATACAAACTCAAACTATTTGCTTGCGGCTTAAAAAGCGTATATCTCGATTGTGAGTGGCAAGCGCTTAGAAAAAATAAAAACGAAATAATTTCCAGCACAAAAAGTAATCACTTCTTTCTTAAGCAACAAACACGTGCTGGCATGCGATTAATACTTTTGTTGTTTTTTTTTTCTTGTTTTTGTTCCTTAATTTAACACATTTTTGACTTTCGAAATAAATCACAAATGAACTACACTTTGCAATAGCTAGCGCTTGCAGCTACAAGTTACAATGTTACTGTAACGCGTCTAACACTTTCGCTTTACGTTAATTGCTGTTTGCACTAAGCAATAGCGCGCTAGTTGGCTAGGCCTGCTAACAGTCACAATATATGCGCTCGTTATGCTTATTATCCTTTTTGGCTCAGCGTTTGCTGGCTTTGTTTGGTTTTGCTTTGAATTGCGTTACGCAGCGCACGAAGGTAAGCGAGACAAGCACGACGTTACGGCATAGCACGTCACTCATGCAACGCGACACTACCACCACTGTTGGCCAACCAACGGATGCAACATGCATTTAGGCCCGAAAGTGTCGATTCACCAACTGCCTGCCAAACGCCGGAGCTAATGTGGAGCGCGCTACTCACCGCACTAAGGCAACTCAATTGTTCAAATTCAATTCAAAAATCCTGTAGTCTGCTGTGGCGACGGCGAGCGCGCTGACTCTGACAATGCGACCGTTCGTAACCGTAGCTCGTCGACAACTGCTCGGCCAAGGGTGTCGTACGCATGCAAAGAACCACCCCCGATTGTCGATTGTTGGAAAATTAGTGCGCGGCGACGGCGAATGCCAACCGATCGACGAGCGCAGCGACTGCAGTTATGTTGTTGTTGTTATTTTATACAGTTATATTTGTCATGCCGCGCGCCCACAAAGCTGCATCTGCTAGCCGTCGTTTATAGGGTGCCACAGTGTAGCATACACGTCAGTCGCTGAGTCGGTTTGTTTGTGCGCGCTGCCCTGCTGCTTTCTCTTCTGCTTCAGGTAACTTTTAATCACCTTTAACGGTTCAGCGGTGGTGTAGTTACGCTCAGCGCACGCAATTATACATCGACGTGCTCTTTCTCTGCTACCTTCGGCTCGCTGGTGGTGAGTCGGCGCAATTTGCATTCGCTTTCTCTCTCTCTCTCTCTCACGCTCGTTCTCTGCAACGCTTTTCCTTGTATTGCGTTTCCTCAATATCTGTTTCGCTCTCAATTTCTTTTGTTTTCTTGTTGGCATTTTTCCGGTTTGTTTATGTTTTCTTTAGTTTCAGCAGCCGGCTTTTTAGCCTAGCACGGCGTATACGTAATCAACTGGCTTTTACAATCATTGCTCGCGGGACACCAAACAGTCGTTGGTTGTTCTCATACGCTACATATACATATGTTTGTGTGTAAAATTAGCACATCGTTTGCGTTATTAAATTGTTATATTTTCTATTTATAGGCAGCCTCCTCCACCCTTAGTTGGGTGTGTGCGGCGTGTGTGGCTTATTTGTGTAGGTCTTTTGTTGATTGAGTAACATCGATATGCTTATCAGTTTTGTTTGGGAGATGAACACATATTTACATATCGAATTTATGATTTTATGCTTTTTCTACAAACTATACTATATAACAATTAACTCGTAAATGAGTTCTAAAGTTCAATATATTATTTTATACTACAAAATAGGGGTGGGCGAAAATACTTGTAGCAAAAATGGAGTTGTTAGGCATGTTAATAAAGTGACAACACAAATCTATAATCATATAAATATATGGATTAATAGTGAGTTGTTTAATCTTATCGTTGAAAAGGTCCATAACAGTCCAAAATAGGACGTAAATGATTGGCGTTATGGCATAGCAGAGTATTTGGTTCATATCATAACTTTGTGTGGTGCTAAAGTCATCAGAATATTCTTTTGCTGTATATATAATAGGAAGACAAAATATTTTTGAAATCGGTAATGCTGTGAAACTATCATGCTAAATAACTGTGGATTTAGTATAAGTTTCCAGCCATTATATTTCACACTAAGATTTTAGATTGCTAATGGCACTAGCAACTACATTTTACAAAATTTTAAGTAATTCTAACATATTCTTTCCTATTAGAGAGAGTTTTGTCTCAAAGAAATGAATGCTGCTTCTTAGGTTGGGCTAAACCAGAACTTTGTCGTTTGTCATTCGCTACGTCATAGCTACATAGGATCCACAAAGAATCGCTTTGAAGAAAAACCAACCTAAGTATTTAAGGAACGTTGTACAAAATTTTGAAATAAATCATAAAACGAAAAATTGCAAACACTTAGTAAGCAATATGTCCTTAAAAATACATATGCTGCGGGTCAGTCTGAATTTCTTTTTGGCAAACTTGGGAGCTGTTGAAAGAATCTTCGGTGAGTAAATAATTTCACGTCTTGGGCCGATCGATTGGCCACCAAGATCGTGTGTTTTACTGAGAGGATATATAAAGCCTAAAATATATGCGAACACTCCAGCGCTTCACTTCAGTCCTTGGAGTACAACGTCACGCGTGTCATTCGCCAGTTACCAGTCGAAATGCTCGAATGAATCGTTCCAAATTGAATTAAATTTATGGACCATCTGGGAAAAATAGATGCCAAAGAATGTTCTTTCGAATTATAATAAATATTTCCATTAAATTTGAAGTTTCTGTGTCTTTGCTTTCGAAAGTAGGGAACTTCAAAATGGATGACTCTTTGCATTGCCTTGTCGGAAGGACCCTCTGTCGGATTTTGATTTTAATAAAATAAGTAGTTCATTCATTCAGGCATGCTGATCATTTAGATCACAGAAGCATATATATTATATGTCTCCTCTATATCCAGGTATTCGCCAGTAAGAGAATGGTGAACTAAGCTCAAAGTTAATTTTCCAAAATTAACGCAAAATTTGATTTAAATTCCAAAAACTTTTAATAAAATATGAACAACATTTATTTTCCACATACTGTGCTTACGTAAGTTTGTAAGTATTAGGGTGTGTTATTTTAAGCATACGTTTTCTTCCCCCAAATATTAAGGTAAAGGCTTTACAGGGGGAAAACGCGTTTTAAAAACTTAGCTCTGAAGTAGTGCTGGCAGCAAATTGAAAGCTCGCCAAAAAACGTCTGGCTAAGTTTATCAGATAGGGCTGATAGTAATAAAGCTTAAATCTCACCTTTGCAACACTATATGCTATAACACAATGTGAGTGGTAGCATTGGAGATAAACGTCTGCAACGACATCTATTGAAAAAATACGAAAATACTTTTTCGACAACCCAATATTAAATATTGCGTATTTTAACTGCTTGAAAAGTATTCAATCTGCTTTCAGTTGACAAAACAAATGCCTAAAAATTACACACCGTAATACATAGATGTATCTGCTTGTTAGAGTGATTCGATCCTTTCTATAAAATCTCATATTCACGAAATTTTCAACGAACTACTTTGACTAAGAGACTATGGTTGCAAAACCGGTTTCGAGCCACCGATTTTTAATACAAAGTTTATCTTTAAGAAATTATAATTTTTTTTTTTTTTGGCTTTTTATGTAATTTTTTGTTTTATTATTAAATTTATTTTTGAGATAGCCGAATGAATTTTATAACATTGCTGCATTTTGATACTCTAATCATTAATTTGTCGGAACTCCAGTCTCATACAATACCGGTATTCTGCCTTTAATTAAAAAGCTAATACTTCATTTGGCAAAACTGTTCTCTAATACGTACTTGACAATAACAATAACAATGACAATAAAGAAAATCGAGCAACTTTTTGACTTCCTGCAAATCAGACATCTCTAATGCTCATATAGATACCTCCAACTATTTATGCAGTCATGTCAGAAAAATATACATTAATTTTCCGAACACAGAACATCTCAACTCCTTGGAGAGTTTACTATACTAATTTGCTTGATTGGCCAGCTTGTTGCCCCCGTTTCGGGTAGTCCTGTCATGCCAATTGTCAACGTTAAATACCCGAGCTGCGTTACGCATTGTTCCTGCGTGCCGTGCAACTTTCAACGAATCGTCAAAGAAAAAAGCAAAAACAAAAACCAGCGAGTCAGAGAAAGTTGGCGAAACGACAATATGTGTGCCACCAAAGTGCGTACAAGTTCGACTCTACTTGCATACGACAACTACAAGTGCGGTGGGCTCAGTCCTAATCAGTCGTTGTTGGCTGAAATTGGCAATAAACTCCTTCTCGTTAGATCGCTTTCCGCGCCACTCAACTGCGTACAAAAAGCCAGTAACAAAATGGACGGGAGATTGTCACAGAATTTCAAATATTTGTCGGCCATGCGCTTCAACGAGGGCACAACGAAAAGACAGTGGAAGAGTCAGAGTCACAATTTCGATAGTTGTGGCAGCAGCTAAGTAAATGTCATTTATTACTCCTACTCAGTCAGAGTAGTCAGTACTTTTTTGGTACTGGATATCTTAAACTCTTTCTTAAGAAAATTTTAAGAAAAATGTCGTAAATTATGAATTTATTTCGAGGGATTTCTGAAAACTTAAGATAATCTAGCACACCGCACTCTTTACTATAAAAAAATCTGTCGCATTGAAAACATTGAAAATCTACATAGTGAAACTGCCTGTTAAGGAGCATAATAATCGATATTAAACTATATGCAGTATCTGCTTTCGTGGTCGTGCAGAAATCTGCAGTCAGTTTGAAACGTAGCCGGTCCGTTGGCACAAAAAGAGAACATACCTCCGGCTTATCGACGATCTGTAACAATACACCTACCAAATTTTGGACACGGCTAACCTCTGACGGTTCCTAAACCCCATTTACAGTGTGCTTAATCAGTACATGGCGTACTTGAAGTCAAAAAACCATCCATAGCAGTTCAAGAACTTGCGTTGCCGCATGAAACGAGAGAAACTCTGGTTCTGCATATTGCAGCAGGTTGAATTCGTACTAAAATAGACTCTGACCAACCAACTCATAACTCTTTTCAACTCTTTTCATGCCTAATGCAATCAGACCACTTTACACTCCTCTTGGGGTGGCAATCGGTAGTAGAGACTGCAGGAACATAATACGCCCGCAGATTGAGGCTGACAGGTTGAGACTGCAGGAAGTCTCTGGTACAAGGAACAAGGAAACAATCCAGCATCACTTGTGCACTTGTCTCGCATAGGCAAGACTACGCAGTAAACATCTGTGATCCCTACGGTAGAGGTGTCGATATTGAAGTCACAGAGTCTGTTGAAGCCCGGGTCAATCGCATGCATCCTAAAGGATAATTCATGGACCTATTAACAGAACTCCACCTTATATCACAAAGGACCAAAACTAGTCCGAGCGTGGATCAGACTAACCAAACCTAAAATTCCTCTATGTATGGTCCGAACCCATCGTTTTCTCGGCCCACCGTTAAGTGATTTCGATAGTAATTAATTTAAGGCTTTCCTCCAAGCAGGGTTTTAATAAACGAACTCTTGATTGATAGCCAGATTTCGGTATTTAGTTTCGTCACACAAAAGCCAGCTGGGCATTGAACGAAGTACAGTCGAAAACATCATAAAAAGGATCTCATATAAAAAACAAAAATTATTCAAAACTTCTCTTATCTTACATCTTTAGTTTTCCGCATCTAAGCTTTTCATTTTGTTGCCGGAATTTTTTTCCGCTGATTATTTTTGAACGATCCCAACTTTTTTCTTCATTTGTCAAACTTAGAAATAGCTTCGGGTTTGAGCGGCTTTCTACGGGCGAGTAGTCCTCTATTCTACAAATGCTAGTAGGATCAAGCGATTTACTTAGTTTGTGAATTTTTAAAATGTGAATTTTGGTCAAATAATCATCCTTCGAATGTTGGATTCTTAGCAATTTTTAGTCGTCAATAGACCAAATGTTCGGTCAAAATGCGTTTTTGTTATAAAAACCTATCTATTTTTGTTATAAAAACCTTGAATCTCCGTCAAATACTTTAAGTCTTATCCAATCGTCCTCGTGCTCGCTGCTGTAAATGTCGCTGGCACGTTGGCGCTTGTTACCTCCGATTGGTTTGGCTGGTTAAAACCCGGCTCAATAGCTAAGTGACAATGAATGGCGAGTGTTTAATATGCCACAAAAGTAGCTGCATTCGTTCGACCGACGCATTGAGATTGCCAGCCGCTTAGCGCAAAGCACAGGCAATATTCTTGTCAACTTTATTTACAAGGACTTTATGTTTCTTTGCAGGACGACAACAACCACAGCAACATCACAGCGGATGCGAAGCGACGATAGCAGCACGATTACAAACGGATATCACGAAAAGTACGGAAGATACACCACAAACAGAGACCACGGAAGGTACAGAGCAGCTGCAAGTGGGTAGCGGGTAGCAAAAGGCACGGGAAGAGCACGAGAGCAGCAGAGACCGCAGTAGGCTACGCATACGGCAGCGGAAGGGTACGCAACGTAATAAACGCATCGCCAAAAACATGTTGGCTGCAGCAACAACAACATTGACAACAACCAAAACACCCACCGCTGCGATGACAACATTGACAACGAACGGCACTACAATGCCGACCACGAGCATGCTGATGACAACAACAACAACAACTACAACAGCAATGACCGATAAAGCACGAAGAGTTACTAAACAAACAACACACAACGCACAAACAGTAATAACAACAGCAGTAAGGACAACAACAGGCACAGGCACAGGCAGCAGATCAGCTACAACAACAACAGCGACAGCAACAATTACCTCAGATCCAGGCATTTTATGCTTTCATCATTGCAATGTAAAAGTTTTCTGCTTCCACTTGCCACATCGTTGCCCCAAATGCAAACAAGTATTAGACACCGGTGTCGATGTGGACGGCAAGAATGATGCGGCCGCTGCGGCTGACGACAACGAGGAGGACGTTGTACGTGGTAATGAATTGGTTAGCAATGGCTGCAACGGTGAACGCACACGTGCCGTTAACGGTGTGCCTGTTGGTGTTGTTGGCTCCACGCGTTTGTTGCCTTTTCGCTTGCCCTATCCGTTCATACGTGCCTCGCAATATCCCTGTGCGATTGTTTTACGTCCGACCACAGGCGATTTTCTCAAGTGAGTATATTTATACACCTATACACATACAATTTACTTCCCTGTTTTGAATACAAAAGTTAGGGAAGAGAGCGCAGGTGCCTGTGTGGTACATTGCCTTAATTGGAGCATACATTCGCATTTCGTTTGATGAAACCAAAAAAACCAAGGCGGTGACTGTGCTTGAGACGCTCCGAAGTTACGCATTCGCGATAATAATTTTCATTATACCCTGAACAGGGCATATTAAGTTTACCACGAGTTGATCAGCATAATGAGTTGGGTCGATTTAGTTATGCCCGTCCGTCTGTCGGTATGTCTGTATTAACGGTAACTAGTCCTCAGTTTTTAATCTCATTAGACCTCATCAGTGTATGGGTCTAGTTGTGAAAGATGGAAAACTTCCTGTTATCAAACCAACAGTCGTCGAACTAGCGACTTGGCTCCCACTTCGCAGTTGACAGACATAACTTCGAAATTGTAGATAATTTTCATTGTCAGCCAAAAATCAAACACAGAATAACTCTTGCCAGCAGGTGCTGCTTCTGACTGAGTAGGTAACTGATAAGTAAAGTCCGCTCTCGACTTGAAAAAACGGTATAAGTTACTCATTAGTCTCGTCCTGCAATATGGTGTAGAGGCATGGACGATGACAACATCTGATGAGCCGACGTTACGAGTTTTCGAGAGCATTGATTCTGTGATTTATTCGGGAGCTAAATAATCTCAACATATCTAACTAGCTAAATAGTGTCTAGAAACATATGCTGCTTGAGCTTAAGAAGGCAAGCAAAGACATATTGCACTTAACTTTGACGAAAAATGGAAGAAAGTGGACCTCAGTTAGGAAATACTTTTTCACTAATGTTAGGGGAGAATTGGTCTTAGCTTTTATGTTGATATCCTCAGTAAATCCCTAAAAAAAAATTGAATTTCCCTCAATTGCAAGTAATTATGTTTCAGCCTCCAGCCTTACCAATAATTTTTTCTAAGCTTCCGAGATGCTAGAAATATACACGCCGTCAGTAAGGCATTGATTTAAGCATTGTGTTCGCAGACTGTCCGCTCAATATTGCTGAAATGATGGCAAGACTTCAGTTCTCAGTTTACTACTTGACTCTTGCGCCTCAGACCAGCTCTGCAAGTATTGGTCCGCTATCAGCAGCTGTGCAGTCGCAAGATCCTTCGGGCCTGAGTTAAATCGTAAGAGATTTAGTAAGTTATTCATCCTCAATAAGGTTCACCCTTCAATGGTTCTAACTCAACACTGTCCGGTTTTGATTTATTTAGTAAGCTTGCCGGATGCCAACTGAATAAACTGTTTGAAGAAATGAGGTATAATTATCTCAACTCCTCTTTCTCATATGTCCCGCTTTTGCTCGATCAAGGCAAAAATACCTTTCATACAATTAGACATCTAGGTGAAATAGCGAAAATAAATACAGCAAAGCCATTAAGTAGATTCATGATAGGTTCAGGACGCTTTGCTGATAGATATTAGTCAACCACAGAAGTTTATCGTATGACTTCACAAAGAACTGATCGGTTTAGTACAAAAGTAAGCACTCCGCACTCCTGAGGGATCACGATTCACAAATCGCCAAACACGATTTTGACATACCTTGGCTAATCGTTCCGTTCAATGGAATTTCTCGCAGCCAATTTCCTCAATTCGGGAATCAGACCTCTCAAATCCTTACTAAAACTCTTTTACTTGCAGTCCTTCATACTCAAAGTCCCGAACTCAATGTTCAGTATAGCTGCGCGAAGCTCGGTAGACATTAAAGGTCGTTAGTACTCTTAATTTTGAAAGCGAAAGTTTCATTTAAGTCCTTTCTTGCGGCCGCCCTCAAAGTATTTCCACGTTGCTTGGGAAACGAAAACGCGCTTGTCACGAATCGTACCAGTTCTAGAATAGTATTTATGACCTCAAACCAAAAAAACCACTGACGGTTTTGAACTACTTTCTTTAAACAGTAGTTATATTAAATATAAATCGAAAAAAGCTAACTAGTAGGCTTGGAAGCTTGGACAATACGTCCATAAAAGCTCTTAAAGCTCTAGAAAGCTTTCAAAACTTCAGCAAGTTTGTACCACCTATACCTCACCGCTCGAAATTGAAATGAATTGCAATACATTCAACATATTAGTTTGTCCTTCAAAGGCGTTCGATCTCAATTTGTGTCCCACATTCTCAATACGACAAATTAGTTTCCTTCGATGCTACTTAACCGCTAAACAAGCACACCTAGGCGCACACGCACACACACACTTACATATTAGGGTTGATAGATTTATGTGTTGGTCTGTTTCTTCTTTCTTCCACAGCGACTACAACAACTCAACCGATTTGCATATTGCCGTGACGACCTCAACGGGCTGTGTTGTGGAATTCGATCGGTATGGCTTGCGGCGCCACCGGCCCGATAATACACGCATGTCCGATTGGTGGCAATGTCTGCTGGTCGGCGATGTCCCCGAACCATGGTATGACTATTGGGATGATATGTTGCAGCAGGTGAGTTAGACACCGTTACACACATTTCCAAATGAATGCATGCATGTATGTATGTATGGGTGTGTGTGAGTGTCGATGTATGAGAATTGCCGCCAGAAAAGCGCAATTAAGCGTAGCACCTACGGCTTCAACACGCTCCGCTGCACGGCAGCTATGAATGTTAGAGCCATTTGTGCAGCCAACACAAAATATTGCATATATGCATAGACATACTTACATACATGCATATATACATACATACATCTATACATGCTTCTATATATATACTCAAATACCTATGTGTTATCTGAAATCTGTTTGCTCGCCCGCAGATTTGCAATCAGCCGGATCGCTGGACCGTCTCCCATTACCAGGAGGATAGCCACAATTGTTACACATTCGTATTGGCATTCCTGCAGGCGCTCGCCTATGACAAGCTCAGCGCTGCCGCACGCTCCAAAACCAGTTTCTGTGAGAAATATATAGTTCCTAGAACCACAACGGCCGGCAAGTATATATCCTTGTATCGCAAGTTGCGTGATACGGGCATTTATGTGCATCCACATCCTCATCATCAACACTATCAACACCAAAGGCATTTGTTGCTTAACGGCAAACAACAGCAACACCAACACTCCTATAACCAGCAGCATCTACAAGTGAAGCCGTCACGTGGCAAGTCGAGAAACAATGGACACTTGAATGGCCATGTGGGTGCCACATCCGCTCTGCTGACCAACGGCGGCAAGGCGACCAGTATCATTTTGCGTGCACCCAATCTCTGCACCATCGAAGAGTGAGTCGCACCAGCACTCTTACAACAGTTCTTTAGTATCGGTTCCTCATCCATCCTCTCATTCACTCAATCATTCATTTAGACCATTTCATTAATTTGCATATGTACTTAGTAGGCGCTTGGCAGCAATGTGTTAAGCAATTATGTAATTGAATATGCGTTGATGGCGCGCTTTAGATACCACTACAAAAACACTGCCTACTTAACGAGTTGCTGTCAGGCAAATGCACTAGTTAAGAACTGGTTTGTTACTTGTTATTTTCGTTTTCATAGAAGCTCTTAAAGCTGTCGAACGCCTTTCGGTACTTCCAAGCTCGCACAAAGTGTTCAAAAGCACGGCAATCAACAAATAATAAGTGCGTGTTTCAAGCTCTGGGCTAACGAGAACCTTCGTACTAGTACGAAGTATTCGAAGTATTTAAAAAATCGTCAATCCACACTTAGAAAGTTCATGTTTCAGTCGTTTAAAGATATCGTACCCCTTTCGGTACCTTAGAACTAGTCGAAGTGTTCAAAAGCTCGGGAATTCACAAGTAATAAGTTCGTGTTTCAAGTTTTTAACCTTTCCAGCACTTCCGAACTAACACGAAGTATGCCAAACCCCGGCAAACCACTAAGAAAGAAATAGTTGTTCAAATATTGCGGGAAACGCGAATTATGGCACTAATTCCTAAACTAACCACTCAAGTTCTGATAACTTGAATACATTGCGAAATATTCCGTGTTCTGAACCATTAGCTTGCCTGATTGCTCACCAATTATCGTTTCCCTACTGGGTAGTTACCGTTACGCATACTGCTGCATATTTGTCAATATTCCGTCGATGAGAGACTCTGTCGATGAGAGTGCCACTTTCTATCAGCCTTCAGCATCCAGCTTACGTTCCTCAATATTGCATCCTTTGTTCGCATCCATTGTTTGCAACAAATACACTTCGTTTTAGTAGTTTTTATTGTTTTCTTCGTTGCTGCACATTTTTATGGTGTATTTTTTCCAACATTGTGTTTCTATTTTTCAACTATGGTCTCTTTTGTCTTAACATTTTAAGTTAAATTAAGAAAGTTGCCTTTTGTGAATTAAAAGTCAATAAAATATAATAATTTAGTCAATTAAAAAACTGTTGTTGTCTTTGAATTTATGTGGGAGAAAAGTGGTCGGAAACTAATATCTATACTGGTAAGAGGAAAGCTGCTAAGTTTGTGGTAAGAACAGTAAACTATAAAAGAAATTGTCCTAAATTAAGATGGTTACTTTTAATTACTTAGTTTCAGAATAAAGGATTGTTTTCGAAAAGCAAAATGGTATATATCAATATAGCTTAGGTCGCAATGTTGTATTAAAATCAATGAATCTCACTTGGGCAGATCTTGTTGGCGGTTCTTTGTGGTATCCATAAACCATTTAAAGTGAATCACTAGATTCTCTTAGATCGATGAAGAGTTTTGAGCTCGCCATAAGCCAATAATACCCAGCAACTTTGCTAAGTTTGGCAAAGGTGTGTCTACCTAGATACTTCAAACTCAGTGTGACAAAAGCTAGGTAATAGAGCAGGAAGTGCCAAGAGGATTTCACCACTCCTACCCCTATACAGCTTTGGCAAAGACCGCTCGACAGCATATTTATCTACACCGCATGTAAACTTACTGAATTGTATACAGCCCGAACACCTGCACTTGAATTTACTTGAAGCCTGTAGTTCGGAGGACCTCTTACGGTTCACTCTGAGTCAGAAGAATCTCGCAGTCGCACAAGTTTTGGTTGCTGATCAGCGTTTGCTGAGTTCATTGGAGGTCTAAAGATGCAACGCCAGATCGCAAGAAGATTGCGGAATTCCGACTTGCTTCCAATCGGTTGATATTGGGGAAAGCGCACGTCGGCTCTGCAGTTTCCGGTACAACCGAGCCCCTCTACAAATCTAAGATGGAAGAGGCGTGAAGCTATTGCAAAAGAGGTCAGGCACTGCTTGATTAGTTAGGCTGTGAAGCGTAGGCCATACGACTAAAATCTTAAAAAAACAAAACACCACCACTTTAGCCTATATCTTCCTGAAAGAGTATTTCTTTTAAGTTTATGTTAGAATATTAGAAAGCGCACGGTTGCATTGACGACTCTCCTCGAGCAAGATGAAATGAGATATATGTATATTACGGAAATGGTGTAAAGGAGAAGAAGAGCTACATAAAACTTGTTTTCAAAACCTGATTTGTAGTAACCGGAATGTAACTGGAATGTAACCCCAAAAATATTGGTGGAAAGACCAACACCAGTTTCGTAAAACTCGTTTTCAAGACTTAACTTGAAGCAACCCAAAAGGAAACGGATTTGTATTTGATTTGGAACTGAACCCCTGTATTCCCTCAAAACTGTTACAGTGAAGACTGACTCGAGTGTCATCGGGTTCTTTTTGAAGATCTAACCGGAACGGCACCGACTTTCTATCTTGTATAGAACTGCCTTCTCATGATTCCCCAAAACATTGATGTAAAGAAGAACTCGAGTGTCATCAGGTTCGTTAACCTAACTTGAAGCAAGCGGAATTGAACCGAATTTGTAATTGATCTAGAAGTGTTTTCTCTGCATTCCCTTTAAGTTATTGGTGTAAATACTGACGCGAGTTTCATCAGGTTCGTTTTCAAAGACTAACTTGAAATAACCGGAACGGAGCCGAATTTCCATCTTAGCTAGTACAAGATCTCAGAACTGTCTTCTCAGCATTCCAAAAAAGTAGTCAAAGTATATTTTAAGTTGCTGCAAGAAAAAAATCGTTTGATAAGGCATCACGATCTCAGAGAGGCTTAGCTAAATCATATGCTATGCCATTTATGGTCTTCCACAGGAAAGCGCCTGTTAAAAGCTGTTAAAAATTTATGAAAATTTAAACAGATTTGGCGTGTCTTCACTTTAAGCTATATTGCTGGGCGATAAATAGGAACAAATTTGCAAAATGCAGTGAGTAAGTGGAGCGCAACTTGATTTGAAAGGGGCCAACGCCGAGGGTAAACGATTACCTCATAACCTAGAATGAAATGAAAGGCATAACGAACGAAAAGGAGAGCAATAAAAATAAATCCGATTTAAATGCACAGGGCGAGCAAAAGTCAGGCGTTCACATTGGCACCGCGCGCGCACACACACACGCAAGCGCACTCACCCAGAGCGGGTTCCTCGCCCGGGGGCGCGCGCACATTATGCGCACCCTTTGCAATGGCAAAGAAAACAATGCCAACAATTAATGCTGCAACAAACGGTGAAATGGTGAAACAAAAGCGCGCAAATTATAATAACAACAAAAACAACAGCGCAAGCGGTGCAAAAATGCGACAGCAACAACAATGGCCTCGACAACAACAATAATAATAATAACAGCAACAACAAAAGTTAGCGGCAAGAGTGAAGGCAGAGAAAAAAGCGTCTACAACAACAACGAAAACAAAAAATTTAAAAGTGCAACATAACGGTATTGAAGGCGTAGAGGTGTTGGACGTGCTCTCGCCTTCATGGCGATGATGAGCCGTGCAATGTTAATAATAATAACGCCAGCGTTGACTCTTCAGCATTATTATGTTTGTCGCGTTGCCATTGGTGTACTGTTAACAGTTAAGTACGCATTGTATGTTTGTGTGTGTGCGTGTGGCAACAATGATAACCACCATTTGCAACAAATATGTATAAGCGAAATTTTGCAATCTCCAGCAGCGATTGTCGACGTTAACGGCCCTTTTGACTGCAGCGTCAGCTGTGGCAAGGAAGGTGGTGGGAGGTGAGGAGTGCCATGGCGGCAAAGCAGTGCACCTTTAGCAATGCAACAACAGTCAACAATTGCAGGGAGGAGAACGCCAAGCAGACGGACAAACAGTAGAGTGAGCGCATCATTATTGCAACAAAAAAAGAAGCGGCAAAAGAAAAACGAGTTGTTGCAACAATTGCAAGAACAAAGATGCGCCAAACTTTTACCAAGAACTGCAGCAATTTCAATTTCGTCGAGCGCGAGCAAATTGCGAACAACGATTGCGACAATTGCAGGCGCAGTTGCAACGCTGAGGAGTTGTTGTTGTTTTTGTGCAAATGCTGTAAGCGCCACTACAACAACAGTAAGTGACTTTGGTTCAACCACTTTTTCGTTTAATTATTTGCGTCGGCATTGCTGTTGTTGTTGTTGCTGTTTGTGTTGCTAATGTGAAAAGTATGCGGCGTGCAATAATTTGTGGCATGCAGCCATAGAAAGCGAAAAGAAGCCTCATTAAAATTTGTGTCAAAATCGTTGCTACAAAAAAAAAAAAAAAAAAAAATTGTTGCTGATGCGATCAAAGAGACAAAGTGGAAATTTGGTGACGTGTGCCTTGCAACAAACACACACACACACACACACACAAATGAGATATTTTTTAAAGCTGTTAAGGTTTGTGGGGTAGTGTTGTGCCTTTGGTAGATTTAATCTGCACTTCGCTTATGCGCAGAGAAATGGTTATTGTCGGTGAAATTTAAGCGAAGCGCTTTTATAGCTATAGCACCCCCTAGGAACTTTATACAAACATATGTATATACATGTTTAACTATAAAAATACAAAATAATAAAAATAGTATATAAGAAATAATGCGTTGAATTCAATAAGTCAACACAAGTACTCATGCAATCGCTGTTTCTGTCTCTAATTGAGCAAAATAAACGCAATGACTTATGAGAAGCTAGTTACCAACTAGTTACCTTGTAATTTGCGCTTCATTTTTTACTTTAAAGTTTAAAATAAATCTCCGAAAAATAATATAACAAACTGACACTCAACTAGTTACTTTCTAACTAGTTTAGGAGTAGTAATCCAAAAATTTACTATGATTTAGTATTTAATTTAAAACTTCGAAGCATATTTTCTATAGACTGGTCTAGTTGCCAAGACCTTGTAGTAAATTTCGGAGTAGTTTCTCTGAAATTTGTTTTGATTTCATATTTTAATTTGAAACTTCGAAAAATATTTTCTAGAAACTGGTTTGCAACTAGTTATTATATACTTAACTTCAAAATGGTATTTTTTGATTTAAAATGGAAACATATTTTCTACAAACTGCTTTGCTACTAGTCACTTAGTACTTTATTTGGGAGTAGTCTTACGAAAATGTAGTTGCATTTTACATTTTAATATAATATTGCGCTTCGAAATATATTTTTTAGCAACCGCTATGGAACTAATTAACTTCTAACTTATTTCGGAGAGGTTTTATTAACTTCTTTATTCTAGATGTTGAATTATTACCTAGAAAATATCTTCAACAAACTGGTTTGCACCTTTGTCATTTATTCCGAATTAGTTCTTAGCAATTTTCATAAAATTTTTTTGAACTTTACATTTCCAAAAAATATTTTGCAAAGTGTTTTTTATAAAATGGTTCTCAACTAGTTACATCTTACCTTATTTCGGAATCACGTGTCATATATTTCAGAGTAGTTCAAAGTAATCTCTCTAAATTCAATTTGGGTTTGAGATTTTAATATAAAGCCTCGATAAATACTTCTTACAAACTGGTATGCAACTAGTTACTTTATAGTTAATTTCCGACTAGTCTTCCTAAAATTTTTTGAAATTATTTATTTTAATATAAAACGTGGATAAATAATTTTTGCAAACTGGTTTGTAACTAGTTTCTTTGTAACTTATTTTGGAATAGTTTTATGATATTTTTGATTTGATTTTATATTTTAATATAATATTGTACTTGTAGAAATATTTTCCGAAAATTAATTTGCAGCTAGTGACTTTGTATTATATTTGACAAAGTTTACTTCAAATTTAATTGGGTCTCATAATTTAATTTTAAGCTACAGAAATTTTTTTCCACACACTGGTTTGTAACTAGTTACTTTGTAACTTATTTTGGAGTAGTCTTCCTAAAATATATTTGGATTTTTCGGTAGATTTCAAAATATGAATTCAAAAATTATATATAGTAAATTGGATAATTATTTTCTACAAACTAGTTAGTGACTAGTTACTTTGTAACTTATTGTGGCATAGGCTTGATAAA